CTCCTAAGCACCACTAGATAAGCCACAAAGGCTCTAGTATGCTCAGCTACCAGCCCAAGGCCGGCCAACACTTCTATTTATAGCCCCAAGGGCTAAAATAGCCGTTACCCCTTCACTGGGCAAAATACACAGTGATCGTACGCGCCGGTCATTATGACCGAACGCGCCAGGCCCTGCGTCCGATCACTCCCGATCGTCCACGTGTCGCCTACGTTTAACGTCGGCTGCGCGATCCCAACCGTCGGCTTTGTGCGCCAACGGTCAAAGAATGACCGGACGCGCCGAAGGATGACCTGACGCGTGCAACCCGCATCCGCTTGCGCGCCCCTACGTGACACAGAGCCAAGGACCGAACACGCCTTTGCCTTGACCTGACGCTGCACCGCGTAGAGTCAGGTCGACTCTAGAGACTACCCCGAGAGGAATTTTGCCGATCAGACACATCCGTTCGCGTATGACCGGACGCACCACGGCGTCCGCTCCTCTCTGCCTCGCGCGCCAACCCTACATCAGTGTACGTCAGCAACGATCGGATGCAGGAGTGTCGCTTCCAGTCACCTCTAGGCTCCAGCGTCCGGTCATCAAGACCGAGGCCACGCCACTTCAGCTAACACTTATCGGACGCGCAGGTCCTGCCGAGGCCAGCGTCCGGTCACCTCCAGGGGCCTCTTTTTGCCTTCTTTTCTTCACCGAGTTGATCCACATCAACTCCAACTTATTCTCCTTTGTAAATGTGCCAACACCACTAAGTGTTCACAATTTGTGCAAGTGTGTTTGCATTTTCATAAACATTTTTCAAAGGATTAGTCACTCAATTTACCACGCCACTAGATACTAGCAACAATGTAAACTTAGATCACTCGAGTGGCACTAGATGATCGATATACAAACAAGTTAGAGGGGTTGGTCATAAACCCGGTCATAAACTTCTCTACACACCTATGACCGATGAAATGAAATGCCATATGGTTATACCTTTGCCTTGCGTATTCCATTCCATCTCCTCCGATGTTGATGCAACACATGCATCAACCATATCACAAATGATATGATCCACTTCATATCATCACATGACCTTGTTGGTTCATCGATCTTGACCTCACTTGCTTTTCACAGTTGCCTTCGTCCATCGATGCCAAGTCTTGCTCAAGCTTCACCGCCACGCAGTCCATCACTCCAAAGCCTCCAACTTGCCCTTCACACTTGCAACCGGTCAATCAAGCCAAGCCATGTCTTGATCTTCTCCATCTTGGTCACATGACTCAATGTCATGTCTCATATGCAATGAGCTCCTTCATCACATGTGTGAGCTTTGCAACATCTCTGAGCTATTTTCACCTCCATGGCATATATTGCTCACACACATGTACCTGTGGACTAATCACCTATGTATCTCACATAAACACATATTAGTCCACCTAGTTTGTCACTCAATTACCAAAATCAAACAAGGATCTTTCAATAGTGTGTAGTACAATTTTAGTTTTAGGCCCCGTTTGTTTGTTCAGAAGATTTTTATAGGAAAAACAATGGAAGCATAAATAGAGGAAAAGGAGTGGGAGAATATCATTTAGATTTATACCTTTTCATACCGATTTCATGGGGAAAAAGAAATTCACTCCAACAGCTTGATTTCTCTTAGGATTAAGCATTATCGAATTAGCAATGCCTGAATCATCAGCGTATGCCTTACTATTGTACCAAGTCATGGAAAAAGAGGGTTGGCAGTAGAAAACATTTCTCAAATGGAGCCCATTTTCTGTAACAAAGATATAGAAAACAGAGAGAAATCAAGCAAGCACACACCCTTAAGCCCAAATTGAACCCTCTCTGAGAAAGAATGTCACGGGCAATCAATTGGAGACAAGTCCTACTGGTGTTGCTCTAGCAGATACAATTCATATGCTTGTGATATGGCTAGTGACCCCCAACAGATACTCTGACTTGTTTTCTTGCTGACAAAGCGCTAGAGACTTTTCTTTGTTGCAAAGGATAACATACTATTCTTGTAGGTAAATACTTTGGGTAGTGAGGATCACCTAGGATCCAAATAGTTTATTGTTGGGTAAGAAATCACACAAGCATCAAAGTTTGAAAACAAGACAAAGTTGTATTCATTTCATCCTCGTACTGTACATGTCAGAGGGGGTATTTATAGGGGCCCTAGTCTTCGTACTTTACATAAAATGACTATTTTACCCCTAACTCAAATAGTTACAACCCTTTTCAACTACAAGGGCGAAGTGGTCTTTTTCTCCTTTTGAGTCTTCACTCTTCAACTTTTGTACATCAGTTTCATTGATGTCTTCGTCTTCTTAGACTTAGTCGATTTCTGCTTTGGTTTTCTTCTTCTTCCTGAATGTTAGGCGAAGTCAAATTCTTGTCTTCGTCTAACATTGCTCTCTTCTTTTCACCAGCGAAGACGAGATCTCTTCAGCAAAGATGGAATCTTTCCGACGAAGTTAAATTTTCATCTTTGCTTCACTTCTTTTTCCTGCAAGTAAACTTTGTTATAGAAATTATAATTTCAACTCCGAAGTTTTAGGGGCTAAGTTTTCTTGGCAAAGTTAAATCCCCAACATTTATGGATCCACTACTAGGCATTTCAGCAATGCCGACAACAATTATATGTGCCGATATACACACACATATACTTATAACATGGCTGGACATAGATAACAAGCAAATCAAATTATTTTGTGGTACAAAAGAAAGTTAATTATCTGCTAATTATCCCTACAAGTACATGATTAATTTAATTGATTATTCCAATTAATTATCTATTAATTATCAGAGATGGAACTTAGCTAGGATTGTAGTGATTAAGCTAAAACTTGTTTAAGCATGTGATTAGCAAGTACAATAAGAGGCTCAAATGGAAACTTACAACATTCGGGTAGGAGGGGCCCTCACCCCTGCTCCTCTCCACCATTGATAGAGGAAGTGATGCTTTATAGGAGTGGAAGTTTGTCCACACGAGGAGAGAGCGAAATGATGCAGAACATGAGCTCGTATAACTGGCGAAGAGAACTCTATACTCAAGGTGTAGGAGTTCGATATGCTAGTGTGTTTTGAGGAAGCCTTTCCTTTTAAAAAATATAATATAAACTTAGAAGAAGAGCAAAACTCAAGTAGATTACATTGGTGTGGAAGGCAATCAAAGTTCTATGTGTTGACATTTTTTGTAGGTAAGATAATGATCTGATTGATGTCAAGCATGACGGTACAGACAGGGGCAGAGACAAGGGGGGCGGGCAGGGGCCTGGCCCCCTATGAATGTGAATTTCCACTGATAATTTTTTGAAATCAAATAAATTTTGAAAATTTAGCACTCTTGGCTCCCTAACATTCAAAAAAATCAATTTCCTGGCTCCGCCTGGATACAGATTATAGTTTGTACAATCCCATGTGAATATTTGATCTTATCCTCCTTTATTAATGTGTGAAACTTTGAAATTAAATACTCCCTCAATCTAAAAACATGCAATTTTAGATCTAGTTAATTTCAAATTACTTCAAGTTTACTAAATTTATAGAAAATAGTATCAATAACTATGATTTTAAATAGATATAATATGAAAATATATTTCCTTAATGGTATGCTTATTTTATATCATCAATATTACTCCTTGCATATTAAACTATAATACGTTTTGGCTTTTTCTAGATACATAGCATTTGTTATGCACATGAAAATACACTATATCTAGATACATAATAAAAAATGTATCTAGGAAAAAAAACAAGATGTCTAAATTTAGAACGAAGGAAATAATATATTTTGTTAAATCAAAAACGGATTAAATAACAGGTATAGTTAGAACCGTACTCCGTTTTTTTTTAGGGAGAAAGAAAGTATTACGTGCCATATCGTATCAATTCATAGGATTGACAAATGGTACGGTGACTATGGTCCATATCGAAATATTCACAGCTTCTTTTACATTTACCATACTTCGGCGTGTCAGGGATAGATCAATCTGAGGGCAGTCTGCTATGGAGTGAAACGGGCGCGTTGGTACAATTCAAGAATATTTACGATAGCTGTACTGTTCGTTTCTCTTGTAATCTGTCTTTTTCAACTTGTTTTCTCAGCCGGAACCGTGTTTTTCTCTTGCTTTTTATGTGAAGCGAACGGGGCCAGCATATAAGATTTACACGAGGCACGAGTGGTGTCCGGACTGTGGAATACTGGAATGGCTCCGGTGCTGGGCCAAACAGCGGCCGGCATGAGGATCCTGCCGGACCGGCATCGCATCAACCAGCGGCGGTACGGTCGCGTACGAAGCTGCCGCGTGACCACCTGGGACGGGAAACGGGATAGCGATGCAATCCACCCGGTGGCCCAGTCCAGCTCCAGCGAACCCACGGCCGCGCGACGGCCTTGCTCGGCGCGGAGGAGGTAGCTGCTGCCATCCATCTGCCCGTGAATGAATGATCCACGATTTGACAGCCGCGGGGCGTGAGATTTCCGGACAGGGGAACCCCGCTGCCCCCGCAAGGATCGCGCACGGCCCTGCGCCGATCCATCCATGCCCACGAAAAAGATCCGTCCGTGCCAGCCATGCCAGGCCATGCCATATACTCTTCCTTCCTATACGTCAGGATACGCAGCGGATCGTATAGCCTGACTGACTGCCTGCCTGAGAGTCTGAGACAAAAGCGGATCGGATAATTTTGTACACAGCACATTACGCATATACACGTCGCAGTTATCACCCGCCTGCGGGGGGATTCACCGCATCGCGATCTCTGATCCGATCCGATCCGATCCTCGCGCGCCTGCGCCGAGCCGCCGACCATTCAATTGCCATATGCTGCTCCGACCCGCCATCTTTTTCTATAAGTAGGTAGCAGTGTATATAAATATACGCCGCCCTCCTGCTCCGGAGATTGCATTGGCAGCATTCTTCCATTCATCCATCTTTTGATTTGATTTCACGCCACCTGAGGGCAAGGCAGCATTCGTCTCGACCAGCCAGCCAAATCGGTATCGATCAATGGAGGTGACAGCGGCGGCGGGTGCTTGCTGCCGTGGGCGGGACGACCACCACGCCGGCGAGGAGGAGAGGAGCAGTGCCAAGGACGCCAAGGTGGTTGTGCCTGTCGGCAGCGACGGCGCGGAGGTGGAGCCGTGCGTCATCGCCGTGGACGACAGCTCCGTTGACCGCGCCCTCGTCACCGCGCTCCTCCGACGCTCCAAGTACAGAGGTGAGGACGGATTTCACAGATGATTCTTGGTTTCATTTTATCCCGATAATTCACTCTTTTTTCTGTCTGACAAGAACAAACCAACAATGTACACATTATTATTACAAGCATTCAACATTCAGTAACTTTGCTACCTTTGCTGATGCAGTCACCGCGGTTGACAGCGGCAAGAGGGCGCTGGAGGTTCTGGGCTCGGTAACTGCTCTTCTCCCTGACGCTCTATTCGCGTGCCTTTGCTTAGATTTTCATTTGGCTGATGAACATTGCCTTTTCTTATGTACTATCCAGGAGCCGAATGTGAGCATGATCATCACAGACTACTGGATGCCAGAGATGACCGGCTACGACCTGCTCAAGAAGGTCAAGGTAATTAACCATTGACTTGGATGTGGCATCTGCAGCCTCAACCCTTTATCTGCTTCGCAAATACTAGCATGTTCTCGTGCGAAACATTAACATCTGATACAATCTGCTTCCTTCCTAAACAGGAGTCTTCGAAGCTGAAGCAGATCCCAGTCGTGATCATGTCCTCCGAGAACGTGCCCACCAGGATCACCAGGTCTGGATCTGGACCACCAACCAACCCCATATTGGCAGTGTCCCTTGTGTACTCTCGAGTCCTGACAAATAGTGACACGCGATTATCGCGAGACAATGACGATTTGCAGCTCTGAATTTGGTTTCAGATGCCTGGAGGAAGGTGCGGAGGACTTCCTGCTGAAGCCCGTCAGGCCGTCCGACATCTCCCGCATAACCACCAGGATGCTGCTGCACTGAAAGTCTCAAACTCTTTCATCAGTGGGCCACCCAAGTTATTATTAGATTGTTACTGGTAGTGTTTTCAAGTCACAATAGAGTTGGAGGTAGGAATTGAGTAAGTTTAGAATAGCAGTTATTAGCCGCAGAATCCCCTCAAAAAAATGTTATTAGCCGCAGAATGTGTAATGCAATGTGGCACACTCCTTAGCTTCATTCAGTAGTGGTTTGTGCTATCTTTGGCGTCGTACTCAATAACAAGCAGGGATTAGTTGTAGGCTTCCAGTAGCGAGTTTGTTTTCTTATTATAACTCGTGTAAGTGTACACCACTGCACGAATCATTCTGTTTAAAGGAACATTACATTGGATTAGCCGTTTTTTTCAACTAATTTTTGTTTTATTATTAAACATCTGGGTTTGATTCACCTGATCAGTATATATCTTGTCACTATTTTTTTTGTGCCATTAAGCCGTCTCTACAAATCGATTTGTAGAGGTGGTTCGAAATCTCTAGTCGCCTCTACAAATTATTTTTTAGCAATCACAAAAGGAACATTACATTGGCTTAGTTGTTTCTTAACTAATTTTTGTTTCATTATTAAACATGGGTTTGGTTCACTTGATCACTATATATCTTGTCACTATTTTCCTCCATCCTAGTAAGCCTCTATAGAGGCGGGATCTTGTCTGTCTCTACAAATCAACATTTGTAGCTGCTCCTGAGAAACAAAATTATTTTTTAGAAATCACAAATCAGACCGAAAACTAACAATTTTTTTTATTCGCAGAAGCTCCCGCCAAATAAACTCATGGTTGTGTGCCCCAAGTCACGAGTCATGTGATTTTTCACATAAAATACGTGTAGACATGTGGCAGATGGTATTCGAACACATTACCTCAAGCACTATGCGTACCTCTCTTAACCATTCCATCCCAAACTCACTTGTTACAGTAGGGTAGATACTTTCCTTTCGTATTCATTTTATTGAATTTTGAAATAAATATTTGAGACCCTAAACGAATTCAAATAAAAAAGGTTTCAACTAGAAGTTGTAGATATCATCGAGTAGTATAGCTTTAGTTTTGGTCATTTCTCCATCCATGATCATTTAGAAATTTTGAATTTCAAAATGTGAGAAGTTTAAACATAATTTTTCTTTGATAAATGATTTTAAGTGAAAAAAGTTGTCAACTATAAAGTTGTAGAGCTCTTCGAGAGTTACAACTTTGGTTTATGTCGTTTCTCCATCCGAGGTCGTTTAGAAATTTTAGATTTGAAAATGTGAAAGACTTCAAATTAAATTTTGTGAACTTGAAACAGAATTTGTGGGATCCAACCGATTTCAAATTTGATATAAACTATAAAGTTTATCTTCATCTAATTTCGTTTGAAAAAGCTATAAATTTTAGTGTATTTCACCTATTCTTAGAAATGACTCTAGATCCAGCCGTCTCTACCAATCGATTTATAAGATAGCGAAATTTCTAGAAAATAATAGTCATCCCTAAAAATGAATTTATAGAGACGGGTCGTTTATTTAATGGAAACTACCTACAAGGCTACATCAATAGTTAAAAAAAGAACGAGCAAGTAACTACAATTTCGACGGGCACGTTTGAACTGGATATCAATAGGCATGTCATTGTCAACCATAAACACCAAAACGTGGAGGAATCAAGTAATTTTGCCTCCATTTGTTCATTTTCTTTCAAGAGGTGCAAAGAGTTCGCGGCATAGGGTGTTTGATCCCCGGACTAAGATTAAGTCCTCGTCACATCAAATGTTTGATATTAATTAGGTGTATTAAATATAGACTAATTACAAAACTAATTACATAAATAAAAACTAATTCGCGAGATGAATCTATTAAACCTAATTAGTTCTTGATTTGCCCACATGATGCTAAAGTAAACATATGCTAATCATGGATTAATAAGAGTTAATAGATTCGTCTCGCGAACTAGTCACGGCTTATAGAATTAGTTTTATATAACTCATGTTTAGTCTCCCTAATTAACATCAGACATCCGATTTGATCTGGGTTAAACTTTAGCTGAAGGATACGGACGTGTTTGGATCCCTACCCCGTCACATTGAATATTTAGATGTTAATTAGGAGGACTAAACATTAGATAATTATAGTTAAAAAAAACATTAAATAATTATAAAACTAATTGCATAAGTCGGGACTAATTCACAAAACGAATTTATTAAGCCTAATTAATCTATAAGTAGTTTATGTTTACTGTAGATAAGTTTTTATCCAGTCCGGTCCTCACATAGCATCCAAAATCCATACTACTGGGTTGGGCAATGCAATTATCCAACTAAATACAGTAGGTTCTGAACTCTACAGGGCAATCGAAATCCATTCGACTCGGCTGAGGCTAGAACGCTTCCTCCTGCGCCTCATGCCCGCATCTGAAGTGTAAGCCTTAGCGTATGTACACACCTTGTTGGATCCGGCGTGGCGAGGAAGAAGCCGCCGGTACGGGGCACTCCATCAAGGCGGAGAGCAACTCTATCGCAGCGGCAGCAACCTCCGCCTGCGGGTTGTCGACAAGGAGGCGGGCCGCGACGCTCGAGCTTCACCTTCCGTGGCACCAACGGCGGAACGGCCTTGCTCTGACCGCAGCCATGTCCGCGCAGTTGCGCACGCTAGCGCAGTGGCGCCGGCGAGGGGGAAGGCGGATCGTCCCAACCCTGAAAGCTAGGCTGTTGCAGGGGGTTGTTATGGGCCGTTATGAAGGCAAGCAGAGGCTTTGTTTTGTTTGGCATGGGCTAATGGGCTGTGTGGCTTATACTACCGTTCCCTCCGTCTAATAAAAAAACTTTAATGTTTTAGTTTTCTCCTTAATCTAATTGTTCTAAATTTGACAAATTCTATAGAAACATTTTCTAACAATTATGGTACTAAATAGATATACTGTAAAAATATGTTGCATGGAGGAATGTATGATACTTATTTAGTAATACAAACATTTGTTTTATAGTGTATAAATTTGGTCAAACTTTAGATAGTTTGACTTAGAACAAAATTAAATCTGTTTTTTTTTGGATGGTGGGAGTACTTAAAACTGAAATTTTAATTATTTTAGTGAAAGATGAAAAAGTCCAAGCAAAAAACTAAAACACGAGAATAAAATGTTTCCAAGAAATTAAGATAATATAGCTTAAACTAAACTTTTAATATAGTAAACCATTCATGATCAAAGCACTTTCATACCTCCACCCAACCAAATTTAAAGTAAAAGGAAAAAAGAGTAGTTGAAGAGCCTAGAAGAAAAGCATGAAATAGGATAGGTGGCCCGTGGAAGCGAAATAAAGCCCCATTTGATGCAACTTCTCCACCAGCTTCAGGAACTGTTTGTAGTTTTTTGTGAAACAGGTGAAAAAGAAATAGCTCCTGAAGTGGAGCCCCTTAAAACATGGTCTTAGAAGAGGTGGATGCCCAATGAAGCTAAAAATATTATTTTCTCTAAGCCCTCTATTTCATATCTACTATTAGAAGGTGTTTTATCAAAAAAAAATTCAAAACAGATTTATCTCCACCAGTAGAGCTACTTATAGAGCACCACCTATGTTTTCATATAGAAAATTTTACTCCCTCCGTCCTGAATAAATCAATTCCTAGAGTTTTAAGTGAATTTTTTTTATGTTTGGCTAAATTTATCGAAAAGAGAACAAAAATTTATGACAATAAATGAGCATATTATAGAAATATACTTTATAATGTATCTAAATACTAATTTGGTTTCGTAAGTCTTAGTATAAATTCAGTCAAACTTAAAAAATAACTTAATATAACTCTAGAAGGGAGTATGTTCTAGAACCTTTCACACGCCACCTGGAACCTTTTATCGCATCCCAACGCAGCGAAAAGCAGCAAAGCCAGAGGATAGGCTCCATGGCTGCTTGTACAAGTGGTCTCCAAAATGGTAGATTTTGCCACCCAAAAGGTTCAAGGGTTGTATATTTTCTTTTATATCTGAAAGCACCAACCCAAACCCTAGTATCCAGAGTGCCAAACAGATACATGTTCTCTCTCTATTCCAAATTATAAAATATTTTGATTTTTCTAGAAATATAGTTTTAACTATGTACTTAGCTGTACATTATGTTTAAATACATAGTAAAAAAACGATATAACTAGAAAAGTTAAAATGTTATAATTTAGAATGAATGGGTAGTTTTTTTTTTTTGATCCTATATTTCTATTTCTAACAGTCCACAAGCTACAAAGCAGAATTTTGAATTCTCTAACCAAAAACATGACCTGAGCGTTTGCATATATAGGTCTGGACTGGGTTGTGTATTAGCCAAGTCCGGCTCATATATGGGAGGCAGGTCCTTAGTGGTAGGCTAAGTGTATGCAAATTGTTGTGTTTAATTGCTTTCACCTAGCTAGCCTGTCTAAATTGGGATAGTGGTCATTGCTCGCACAAGAATATATTGTATGGGTAAATTTAAGTAAATAAACATAATCACGTTATTATTCTATGCAACTATTTTGCTTATAATGTTTTGAAATACATTAGTATCAATTAATATACGCTAATCATACACTAATAATGTTATTTTTTAGATAATTGGTTGTATTTAGCGAGCCTGGCCCTAGAGAAACTTGCACCTTTCAAGTCTGGTGTACGTAGCTACTAGCTAGCCAATCAAGACAATTATAGTGTTTTGAAAACGAAAAGAAAGGCAAACACATCATGCCTACATACATATTATATTCTCCCAAGAAGAGAATCTTTAGGCATATCGCCCTTGCCTAAATTTACTACTGACTTACTGAGAGGCTCAGAAGCTGAGACCAAGAGCAGACCCAGAACGCCAGACCCAAAGCTCCCACGATGCTGTCGCGCTTTCTGTCTGTTACTGCTCGCCGCACGCGCCACCAGGCTTGCAGACTGCACGCCGGCGCGGGCGCCGTCGTCGCTCCTCCGCCTCAGGCGCTGGTCCAGAGCGGGATCCGGCCGGAGTCGCTGCCGCGGCACGTAGCGGTGGTGACCGACG